ATGTGTTTGTAATCTCGTTCTTTTTATATTGTGTGGTTTTTTTTAACCAAAAAAAAGAACATTTCTACTTGGTTCCCAGATGTGTTTGTCTGCAGTTATTCTTGTGGTGCTTGGCAGTCTCTCCTCTCTGCGCTGTGTGTTCTTGAGAGTTGTGGTTGTGGTTCTGGCTTGCGTGTGCTCAGTTCTCGGGACAGAGGAATGGGGAAGTGACCGCTTAAGATCGAAGATAGAATAACAGGGCTTGAAGGGAATTCGGAGGCCTTCCAGTCCTGCTCAGGCAGGAATCTCTGTATCAGGGGCCCTCAATCTCGTGGGATCATCCCCTCTCTCCCCACCCCTTAGAACATAGAATGAACTTTTCTTCCTCCCTCCCTCCCTCCTCCCCGCCTTCCTGCCTTCCTGCCTTCCTTCCTTTCCTTCCTTCCTTCCTCTGTGGTGGCACAGTGCTTAGAGTACAGCACTGCAGGCTACTTCTGCCAACTGCCAGCTGCCTGAAATTTGGCAGTTTGAATCTCAGCAGTCTCAAGGTTGACTTAGCCTTCTGTGGTTGTAAAACAAGGACCCAGGTTGTTCTAGCTGGGAGAACGCGGCCAGACAAACAGAGGCGAGCCAGGACTTCAAGTCAGCTAACGGTTTATTTCTAACAGGTTTCCAAATGCGGCACTTCACATTTCGCGCGTTTTAGCTAACTGGCAACATCTGAGCCCTGTTTGACAGCTCTTTATACATCCCAGCTGTCAAACGGGTAACCAATCAGTAACAAGGACACACACCCCTTGCCAAACGGACCAGAGAGGAAACTCTAGAACACAACACAAATTGTTGGGGAAAATATGCTCTGTAAACTGCTTAGAAACGGCTGTAAAGCATTGTGAAGCGGAATATTAAGTCTAAGTGCTATTCCTGCATTTTCCATTTCCTTCCTTTCTTCCTCCCTCCCTCCTCCTCCTTCCTTCTTTTCCTTCCTTCCTTTCTTCCTCCCTCCCTCCTCCTTCCTTCTTTTCCTTCCTTCCTTCCTTCCTCCCTCCTCCTCCTTCCTTCTTTTCCTTCCTTTCTTCCTCCCTCCTCCTTCCTTCTTTTCCTTCCTTCCTTCCTTCCTTCCTCCCTCCCTCCCTCCTCCTCCTCCTTCCTTCTTTTCCTTCCTTCCTTTCTTCTTCCCTCCTCCTCCTTCCTTCTTTTCCTTCCTCCCTTCCTTCCGCCATGGTGGCGCAGTGCAGTACTGCAGGCTACTTCTGCCAATGGCCGGCTGCCTGAATTTTGGCAGTTGGAATCTCACCAGGCTCAAGGTTGACTCAGCCTTCCGTCCTTCCCAGGTCAGTAAAATGAGGACCCAGATTGTTGGGGGCAAGAGGCTGACTCTAAACCGCTTTAGAGAGAGGGCTGTAAAGCGGTATATAAGTCTAAGGGCTATTCCTTCCTTCTTCCCTTCCATTGGCTTCTTTGGCTGCTGCAGCACACGGCTGGCTGATATTTAAGTGAATGTCCACTAGGACTCCAAGATGCTGCTCACATGCCAGCATGCCACATGCCCATTTCCCATTTCCCATTTCCTTCATTTCTTCCTCCCTCCCTCCTCCTTCCTTCTTTTCCTTCCTTCCTTTCTTCCTCCCTCCCCCTCCTTCTTTTCCTTCCTTCCTTTCTTCCTCC